TGACTTCATTTAGCTCTCTGGACGGTCTACACCTTCCATTCACCTATTAGTAACCCCCTAGTATAGTGTTGCTCAAAATGGGTCCACTGCCTTTTGCATTAGAATCACCCAGGGGGAACTGTTAAGTAGACTGATACTGGCTCCTCACCTGAGGTGCTAAATCAGAATCTCTAGAGGCAGATCCTAGGAGGTGATTCCTATATATCATGAAATTTAGGAGATACTATCTTAAAGCACCTATGTAGCATCTGTTCCCATGTTTTTGCCAACTCATTCAGGCCCCCATTTCTACTTAGTAGATGATCTTCCCTCTGACATAGTTAAAGTCAGAGTCATTTGGTATTTATGGAGTTCCCTCATCTTCCTTCCTCTTTACTTCAACAGACCAGCATCTCTTCACTTTTTATCTTTTCCTGTCCTTCTCCCTTCTCTCTTTAGTTATTCATACCCTTGTTTCCATCCCTTCCCATCTGCCAGCAGCTGGCTGGATAAGAAATTAGACTGCTGAGAACAAAAAGTTTGAGCACCAAGAGAAAGAGCTGGAGAAGGCCCACCACAGCATCGTTAGAGCTGTGTCCACTTGCAGGGGCCAAGCCAGGGCTGTTTTGGTGGCTTTCCAGTAGCATAGCACCTCCTTCTGCAGACACCTCTATTAGGTCACCCTCAAAGAGGGTGGCCAGGCATGGGCAGGTGCATATTTGAAGGGCTCACATTTGAGACCAGATCAATACATAAATCATATTTGAACTGCTAAGCATTTCTGGGCATTCCGAATCATTGGGTAGGTGAATAAGAGAAATAGGCATTATTGTATTTTATCACTATGTAAATCAATGGAAGATGCAGTTTACATGCTATGGAATACACATATACATGGGTATACTCATATATATCATTAAAAAGTCAACTCATCAAGCATCATCAGTCTCCTCTCTTTGTGGCTTCTTCCCTTCCACAAGCATGAGAGATCTCTATTTTAGAAACCCTTTCGCCTGGCCCTTCTGCCTCCTCTAGCCGCCATCTAATTTCCCCTTCCTCTCCAAGTTAACATTCTGCAGTGAGGAGGCAGCACCCATAGCCGTTACTGCCTTGTACGGCATTTCCTCTTCCTGCTCTCATGACTGCAGTTCCCACCCCGGTTCCCTGGGCGCTAAGTCATGGCTGTTTTCTTCAGTCCTGATTGCCGCCGCCTCTGGTGTCTGTTCTGCGCTCCATCGTGGTGCACCTGGGCATTCCTCAGAGGCTGACCTTGGCTCTTTCATTCTCTTTTCCCTGTGCATGCTCCCTAGACGTCTGGTCTCCTGTCTCCAACTCTCACACGTGTGAATGTCCTCCACATCTTTACCTCCGGACCTTTGTTTCCAACCGCCTGACAGACATTGACTCCTACGCGTCCCCTGACATCTCAGACTCAACACCCAAACTCAGACTGCTGTTCCTGAGCATGTTTCAGCCTTCCCCACTCCTTTCTTTTTAAAAAAATAAGTTTTTATTGATTTCAGAGAGAAAGGAAGGGGGTGGGGGAAGAGAGAGACATGGGTGGGCTGCCTCCTGCATGCTGCACTGGGGATCGAGCCCGCAACCGTGGTACATGCTCCCACCAGGAATTGAACGAGTGACCTTTTGGCTCATGGGACTTTGCTCAACCAACTGGGCCACTCCAGCCACGCAGCCTTCCCCAGTCTTAAATTCCTATCACCGATTGAAACCTTAACCAGCTGCTAAAGCCCAGTGTAGACTCTCCTCTGGGGAGTCTGCCCGAGATTTCCAATCTGAATTTAGTTCTGTCCCCTGAAGCCATGAGACAGGTTTTTTACCCAGTTCAACTCCCTCTTAGTTTGTATGTGGAAGACGAGGCGCCAAACCGTTAAACACCTGCTTAGGGACATACAGCTAATGCTAAAGTTCTTAGAAACTCACTCCCCAGTGCTCTTCCCACTCCACCAAGCAGTTTCTTAATGCCTTGGTGCTTTCAGTTGCCCTTATAGCAAACAATCATACACTGCCATGTGTGCGTGCTGGGGTACTTGTAAAGTTAGAGGATCCTGGAGCGACCTTCCCTGTTTCTCATGTATCCCTGAGCTCCTCATTGTACCTAATTGAGGAGTCATCACTCAGTTAGTGCTCACTAAATATTTAATAGCTGAATGAAAGAAGAGAAAGTTGCCTTACAGATTTTCCCTGATTAGGGCCTAGCCCGGTCCAGGGTAGATGCAGACGCTCAGGAAATATTTATTGGTGACGGGCAACTGTAACGATCTGGCTGAGGTGTTTGGGCTCTTCTTAGGCGGTGGGAGCCATGCTGGTCCTAGGCAGGAGAGGAGGACTTAAAAAGCACCATGTTAGGAGGGTTCAATCTGGCAGCGGCAGCAGAAGTGAGGCAGGAGCTCCAGGAGGGAAAAGAGGAGGGATGGCCTGGCTGGCAGCTCTAGGAATTGAGAGAAAAAGACAAACAGGGACATTCTGAAGGGAGGAAGGATAGGGTGACTGTGATGTGGAGAAGGAACGGGGAGGGGGCAGGGAATGGTACCCAGGATTTTGCTTTGAAAACGGTATTGCTCTTGCCGAGGGGAGAGGAGTGGTCTCTAGGAGCACGCTCTGTGGAGGATGTTTGGTACATAACTGCTGTGCCACATTCATGCTCTCAGCCTAGTTCTTAGCGTAACCATTTCAAGTAGGTGTGGTTATCTTTGCTTGTGGGTCAGAACACGGGCTTGAAACCATTAAATCATCTTCTGAACCCAGTGTGTCTGACCTCAAAGATGTTCTTTCATTTCTCAGTGCCTCCCAAACACAGGAGGAGACAGATTTGGAGCTAAGATGATAAAATTAAATCTGTGCTGATTTGAGGTGATGGTGGTATACCATTGTGACTCTAACAGGCCCATCATATTTTCTCTTAGATTAGGAGGATCCAGAAAATCATAAGTCCTTTTTTCTTGTCTCTGCCATCTAGAGAGAACTAAGTTGGATGCAGAAAAAGACTTCTCAGCAGAGTTTAGAGGCCCCCAAATGGATGAGCCCTTCTTTTGGGGAGGTTTTTAGGGAACTGGGCTCCCTTCCTCTAAGTCTAGATTTGCAGTTAGACAAGGTACCTTCTTCCAGGCTCCAGGCCTCTCCTTAATCCTCGTAATATCTCACAGTGACAACATCTCTCTTTCCGGTGGGGCCTGCTGTTTTAGTAGACCTGTTCAAGGTCTTTTCTAAAGGAACTTCAGCTGGAGCTAAATAACTGAACACAGAACCACGAAATCCTTGGCCTGGTCAGCCCAGGCTCGTTCAGAGCACATAGAGGGAGCTCTTTTCTACTTCTGTCAAGTCTTTCCCTGGAGTAGCTTGGGGATGTTCTTTCAGGCTTCCATATGCTAGGCTCTGGGCGAGGTAGGTACTGGACACAGTGGTAAACAAGGAAGACTTAGTCCCTTTTATCTGGAAATGTCTGGACAAGTCTGTACACAATAACAGTGCATGCTAATACGTGCTCTGATAGGGGAAGTACATTTTAACCCTCCAGTTCCCCTCTTTGAGAAAATGGACGGAGATAGTATAGGGTAAGGATATTCTAAAACAATGAACAACACCTCGGGCTGGTGTCTCCCTGGTCCCAGCCATGCCCAAGTTATGTTCCATGTGGATGGAAGGGGAAGGATTCTTTGGTATTGTTTGTTTGTTTGTTTTTGGTGTTTTTTTTTTGTTTTTTTTTTAGAAATCTTATATTGGTTTTCAAAATCAGGGAGAAAGGAGTTTTAGATTATATACTTCTAGGATTATGAGCACAGATGCCCAAGCACTGCCTGGAGGGTTTGTGGTGCCTCTCCTCTTAGTCCTGCAGGTGGCGGGAAAGGGTCTGCCCAGGTTGCAGAGCACAGGAACAGGCTGGCTCTCAGCTTGCAGCCCCACTTCCCAGCCTCTCTCCCTCTTTCAGAAAAGAGTTTCTGCCAGGAGGGTGTGGGCGGGGGCCTCCGGCAGCTGTGCTCCCAGCCAGGCTGCCTGCTCTTGGCTCTGCAGGCAGCGAGCCTCTTTAGGGGCTTTGTCTGAGCCTTTCGGGCTCGCTCCTCCTGGCACTGCCTGGCTCAGGAAAGCAGGAACCGAAAGTTCTCCCTTCTCATCTGCCCCTGCCAGTGGCCCTCTCACTGTCACCTGCTCTCCCTCCCTACCTAGAGCTCTCTCTACCCTCAGAGGCCACAAACATTGGCTCCGAAGCCCTTGGTCTCAGGAGACTGGGAAGGAGCGGGGGTGGGGGTGGGGGCGCGCAGGATGTCAAAAGGATGGTAGCTCTCAAGTTCCAATTCCCTGCTTTTAAAAAATTAGTAACTGTAAGTAAATGTTATTGCACACACGCTTTTAACCCGTGCCAGGCATCATCTTAACCATTTTATGGGCATTGCCTCATTGAAAGTTGACACCAGCCCACCCCAGCCAATTTGGCTCGATGGATAGAGCGTCAGCCCGTCGACTGAAGAAGGGTCCTAGGTTCCACTCTAGTCAAGGGCATGTACCTCGGTTGCAGGCTCAATCCCCAGTCCTGCAAATGTGGGAGCCAACCAGTAGCCGTGTCTTTTACATGTGTTTCTCTGTCCCCCTCCCTTCCACTCTCTAAAAATCAATGGAAAAATATCCTTGGATAGGGAATTAACAATCAATCAATAAATTTGATAACAACCCCAGAGGTGGGTACTCAGGCACCCTGTTTTGCAGGTAGGCTATACACTCAGAGTTTGTCATTGAGTTTGAAATCAGGAGCATGTCTTTGAAAAGCTAGCTGGGTTCTGGCTTCTGTTTTCTCTCATCTTCTGACTTGTCCCATAGAACATGAACTCTGAACCCATAGAAGAAGGGGCAGCGGGCCATCAGGGTTCCCTCCGCACGCCTCTCTTAGTATACTAGTCTTCACTCTTCTCTCCTGGTTGAATACATACCCCCCACCCCCCACCCCTCCAGGCTATATAAACTTTTTCTGAAGTCTGACACCTTATTCTTTCTCTCCCTCTCCCCTCCAGGACCCTGCTGGAATCTTTGAGCTGGTGGAAGTGGTTGGCAATGGAACCTATGGACAGGTGTACAAGGTGAGACTCCAATGGTGCAGAAGTGTGGCTGTCTTCCCTGGGGTCCTCTCAGGAGGGGTGGAAGAAGTATATTCCAGGTCAGGAAAGTGGAAGGGTTATGGGAAATTGCAGAGGCCAGGGATATGGGAAAAAGAGAGAGAAGAGAAGAGAGGAGGAAATTAATGAGGGAAGGAAGCAGTAAAATGTGGGATGGTCGAACCGGTTTGGCTCAGTGGACAGAGCGACGGCCTGTGGACTGAAGGGTCCCAGGTTCATTTCTGGTTAAGGGCATGTGCCTTGGTTGCGGGCACATTCCCAGTGGGAGGTGTGCAGGAGGCAGCTGATCGATGTTTCTCTCTCATCGATGTTCCTGATTCTCCTTTCCTCTCTGTGAAAAATAAATAAAATGTGTTAAAGAAAAAAAAAAAAGAAGTGGGATGTTTTTGCTGGCTTCTGCCCGAGTTTAGAACTATTGGTGTAGCAGGGACAGGTTTTGAGTTGAATGGTATGGGAAAGGAACAGCTGAAGGCGGAGGGAATGGTATCAGAGCTCACTTGGGAGTCCAGAGTAAAGCTCAGGCCAGAGTTGCAGGTTTGACCTGACAACAAAAAAACCCAGGATGTGGAGTGGGTGGGATCCAATGAGTGACTTTCTTGAGCTCCCACAGCTGGTGTGCAGCAGGGTAGGAGCCGGAGCTCAGGCCTTCTGCCCCTGAGGCTGCCTCTCTCCCACAGAAGTGGTGTTTCCTCAGCCACTGACTGTACCTTCTGGCCTGGCCAGTTCGGCATTCTCGTGTGGCCTGATCTCGGGTCCCAGTTGAAAGGGGGGAGGTGGTCACAGCAGAGAGATGTTCAAGGTGGATGCTGCCCCAGAGAATACACACGGGCTTCTTTGTCTCCAGACACAGTGCTGGGTCTTTTCACAAGTCTCCTCGGCATCCAGGGCCTGTTTCCTGGGTCACTGGGACCACCTGCCTTTCTCTTACCCTTCTTCCATGTAAGCTTTGGGAAACAGGCACCCCCTCCCCCCACTTCCCCATCTCTTACCTAATGGTTGCCATGGAAATCCTAGCTCTGTGTTCCAGTGCTTTTCTGGGCTTGGGGTCTTGAATGACTGCTGAGGATAAAAATAATCCATGGCCTGGCAGTGCCCATGTTCATCCCCATGAGGGGCTGCTTTCCCTCGCCTTACTCTTCCCCAGAAGCTTTGGGTTTCCTGTCCAAACCCCAGATGGCTCCAGCTAGGAATATTAGGAGGAGGGAGGAAGAGACAATGGCAGGGCCATCCTATATCTAGAAGTTTCTTCCCATTAGCTCCGATGGTGGGTCCATCGACATGTTAGTGTTTCCCTGTGTTTCCTAAAAATCTCAGCTCTATTTTAGTAAAATATGTTTTTTGTTGTTTTTTGTTTTTTGTTGTTGTTTTGTTTTTGTTGTTTTTTTTTAGAGAGAGAGAGAGGGAGGACGGGAGGGAGGGAGGAAGGGAGAGGGATAGAAAGATAGAAACATCTATGAAAGCGAAACATTGCTAACCAGTTTGGCTCAGTGGATAGAGCATCGGTCTGCGAACTGAAGGGTCCCATGTATTCCACTCAAGGGCATGTGCCTTGGTTGCGGACACATCCCCGGTAGGGCGTGTGCAGGGGGCAGCTGATTGATGTTTCTCTCTCATGGATGTTTCTTTTTTTTTTTTATTGTTTTGTTTTGTTTTGTTTTGAAATATATTTTATTGATTTTTTAAAAATATATTTTATTGATTTTGTACAGAGAGGAAGGGAGAGAGATAGAGAGCCAGAAACATCGAGAGAGTCATCGATCAGCTGCCTCCTGCACAGCCCCCGCTGGGGATGTGCCCGCAACCAAGGTACATGCCCTTGACCGGAATCGAACCCGGGTCCCTTCAGTCCCCAAGCCGACACTCTATCAACTGAGCCAAACCGGTTTAGGCTATTTTATTGATTTTTTACAGAGAGGAAGGGAGAGAGATAGAGAGCCTGACCGGAATCAAACCTGGGACCTTTCAGTCCGTAGACCGACGCTCTACCACTGAGCCAAACCGGTTTCTGCTCTCATCGATGTTTCTAACTCTTTATCCCTCTCCCTTCCTCTCTGTAAAAAATCAATAAAATATATTTAAGAGGGGGGGGGGGAGAAACATCATCGATCAACTGCCTCCTACACTCCCCCTACTGGGGATCGAGCCTGCAAATCGGCCATGTGCCTTGACCTGACCGGAACCGAATTAGTGACCTCTTGCTTCCTGGGTTTATGCTCATCCTCTGAGTCACACCAACAAGTTCGGCTCTCTCTTAATTCTTTCCTGTCAACAAAATAAAAAATCTGGAGTGGGGTGTGGGGGGGAGACTAGGGGGAATCCTGGGAAACAGCCTCCTATCCAAAGGGGGCTTGTGTTGCATAGAAGATGCAAAGAGTGGCAAAGGCCCTCCCTCCTCAGCATCTTTCCCAGGTCCCTCCAGCTCCATCTGAGGATGGAGAAGGTATCCTTGACTCCCCACTCTAACTTTCTTTTTTTTAAATATATTTTATTGATTTTTTTTTACAGAGAGGAAGAGAGAGAGATAGAGAGTCAGAAACATCGATGAGAGAGAAACATCGACCAGCTGCCTCCTGCACAACCCCTACTGGGGATGCGCCCGCAACCAATGTACATGCCCTTGACCGGAATCGAACCCGGGACCCCTCAGTCCGCAGACCGACGCTCTACCACTGAGCCAAACGGGCCTCGGCCCCACTCCAACTTTCAAACGAGGAAGAACAAGCCAGAGATGCTTGAGTATGAAGGGAGCAGACCCTTCATTTTTTACCAAGCACAGAGCTTGGAAATCCAGTCTTGGTAGTTTTTCTGTAGCCCACTGTTAGTCCTGTGACCAACCAATAAATTGCGGTGTCTAGCCACCATGAGGGGCATATTCTAAGATAGAAAAAGCCAAGAGGTATGGCTTCACCCTCCGGGAGCATGACCCGGGCCCCTCTATGTTTGCCTTGCTGTGCACAGGGTCGGCACGTCAAGACGGGGCAGCTGGCTGCCATCAAGGTCATGGATGTCACGGAGGTAGGAAGTGGAACGGGGCAGAGGGGATTGGAGCATTGAAGTCGGGGCTGACCTTCTCCCATTCACCCAGGATGAGGAAGAAGAGATCAAGCAGGAGATCAACATGTTGAAAAAATACTCTCACCACCGCAACATTGCCACCTACTATGGAGCCTTCATCAAGAAGAGCCCCCCGGGGAACGACGACCAGCTCTGGGTGAGAGTGCCTCCGGCCTGCCCCTGCCCCTCCTTGCCCTTTCTGTCTCAGGCTGCTTGTTTGGAACTCAGTCAGTACCCAGAGTCTCCTGGGCAGCCCTCTCTTCAGTCCCACAGCCTCTCCTGTGTATGGACCGAGGGACCTCCTGACCCACACTTTGCAGTCTCTTGTTCTCTGGGCATTTTGGTGGCAGGCGTTCTGGGGCTCCCCCCCCCCCCAATACTCACTTTTGCCCTAACCAGTACCTTACCCTGTGTCCAACAGGCCCTTATAAGTATCAAGCAATGTAATTCTAGCAAGGGCTGGGAAAGACCACAGAGAGGTTAGTTGACAAGTTCTCCTGCACTGGCACAGCCACTAGGAAGGTAGCAGACCAAACTCTGTGGGAGGCGACAGATAGAGCGTGGACCCCTCCGGGCAGGGCACAAGCCTCTGGGTGATCGTTCTAACCAGAACTTAACTGCTGCTCTTTTGGTCTCCCCGAAATTCCCTCCTAGCTCAGAATATTTCTAGGTCACAACTCTCCTTACCTGGGCACTGATGCCAGCTGGTTCCTCAGCCTCACCCTCTCTGGTACTCAGCCATACCCAAGGACAGAGCAGCAGGGAACATGGCAGTGGCTGAGCAAGGTGGGGTGGGGGCAGCAGGGGATTGGTGCTTATACCAGGTCTCCCCTTGCAGCAGTTGCCAGGTGAGTATTTAGCACTTTCTGCATACCCTGCATAGATTAAGTATGAAACATGGTTCATGTTTCTATGCAGTAGTCTTTTTGAAGGTGTGTGCGCGTGCACGCGCGCGCACACACACACGCACTCTCTCTCTGTCACACATTCATATTTCATACACACCAAGGAAAGTGAGTAATGGGTTAGAGAGGTTTACCTGCCAACTGTACCTAGTGAGAGATCCTTGAGGACTAGAGGTTAGGTGCTAGTGACCAGGCGCCCCCTTCTGGACCTGTTGGACATTGTCCTCCCACTATGCTATACTCAGATGCGGAGCATATGTAAATTATTTTTGCATATGCAAATGTCCACATATCTTCCAACCTTTTTCTGTGTTGGGTGTGGCTTTTAGAAAAGTACAATGAAAACATTTCCACAGACGTGCCTGTCACCTGCCTCTGGGTTTCTGGTTCTTCCCTAGAGATGGCACAGGGAGCTCTCCTCCTCTCCCCACTTTAGTCTCTCCTCTGCTCGTGGAGTTTCCCCCAGAACGCTACCAGGTTCCCTCGGCTCTCTGGTAGGCCCCGTGTACTGCTGTCTCTAGCAGCCTGGAGAATTGCTGGTTCTAGCTCCTTTCTTGACTCAGGATGAGAGTTTGGCAAACTGATTCTGTGAGGGACCAGATAGTAAATATTTGGGGCTTTGTGGATCATATTGTCTGAAACTACTCAGCTCAGCCATTGGACCATGAAAGCAACCATAGACAATATATAAATGAGTGGGCATTACTGTCTCCCCAGGACCTTTATTTAGGACACTAATTTGCATGTCATGTGATCCTCTTTTTCTTCTTTTCAGCCATTTTAAAATGTAAAAAACATGCTTAGCTCATTGGCCATAGTTTGCTGACCCTGCTCTAGAGCAGGGAGGGGTTATGATACCATCCAAAGAGGATCTGATGAGCACATTGGATCCCTCCCCATTTTGTCTATAATTTCAGGGATTCCTTGGGCTCCTACTCTGGACAAAGACCATGTCCCCAAACCCACCCTCTCTATCTTTTCTGACTGTACTTCCTTCCCCTTTTTCTCCTAATCTCAGGAAGTTCTATGGCCTTTGCGAGAGAGGCATGTGGCCCCTACCCTTCAACTTATACCAGTTTTGACCCCAAGGCCTCTGGTTCTCCTCCAGGGAGCTGGCAGGGGAGAGGGGCCTTGCCTAACCGCTACTTTTCCTTCCCATCTCCCTGGGACTGCAGCTGGTAATGGAGTTCTGTGGTGCTGGCTCCGTGACGGACCTGGTGAAGAATACAAAGGGGAATGCGCTGAAGGAGGACTGCATCGCCTACATCTGCAGGGAGATTCTGCGGGTGAGCACCGGGCCCCCCGCCTCCTGCTCCTGGGCCGCCCCCACTGGAGCGTCTCCCTGGGCATGGACCCCTGCCCTGAGGAGGAAATGGGGCTATGCCCTCTTTTTTAAATTAATTAATTATTTTAAAATATATATATATTTTATTGATTTTTTATAGAGAGGAAGAGAGAGGGATAGAGAGTTAGAAACATCGACGAGAGAGAATCATTGACCAGATGCCTCTTGCACACCCCCTACTGGGGATGTGCCCTCAACCAAGGTACATGCCCTTAACCGGAATCAAACCCGGGACCCTTCAGTCGCAAGTCGATGCTCTATCCACTGAGCCAAACCGGTTTCGGCTAATTAATTTATTTTTATTGATTTCAGAGAGGAAGGGAGAGGGGTAGAGAGATAGAAACATTAATGAGAGAGAATCATTGATTGGCTGCCTCCTACACACCCCCTACCGAGGATGGTATCAGCCCACAATCAGGGCATGTGCCCTTGGCCAGAATCAAACCTGGGACCCTTCAGTCTGCAGGCGGACACCCTAGCCACTGAACCAAACTGGCCAGGGCTATGCCCTCTTTAACGGAGCAGGTGGCCTGATGGGATTGGAGGCTAAAGACAGAGTCTTAACCTTGAGGACTCAAACTGTTGGAGATAAGGGCTTCTGTTCCCAAGCTCTGCTATTTCTCCACTTGCAACCTACACCTGGGAATTCCCAGGAGCCACCATGCTGAGGGAACTCCAGGAAATCTCAGCCTGTACTTCGGGCACATGGTGGAGAGGGACTGCTTCTTCACCCCAGCCCCGTGCTGCACACTCTCTGGGACCTCCCCTCCCTCTCAGTCACTCCATATTCTTGCTCCTTCCCCCTTCCTCCAGCACCAAGCCTAATCCCCCCACTCTCTGCCCAGGGTCTGGCCCATCTCCACGCCCACAAGGTGATTCACCGAGACATCAAGGGGCAGAACGTGCTGCTGACAGAGAATGCCGAGGTCAAACTAGGTGCGCTGGTTCCTTCTGGGTGGACGGGCCCTCTCACCTCCAGGGCGAGAGGCCCCTTTTCCCCTCTGGAGGCTTACGTCCCACAGCCTGTAGGCTGGGAGGCTTGCTTTCCCATTCCCTCCCCGGGGATGTCCTGCTGCCTGCTGTGTCCCAGTGCTGTGCAGGTCCCTCTGGAGAGCTGGGATATTTTTATCTGAGGTGTTACCTTTTCACCTTGGTTTTTCCCAAGAGGCAGGGAGACTCGGTCAGGTACTTCAGGGTGTTGATGGAATGGGAGAGGTTGTGGGGAGTGTCTAGGTAGAGCCAGGACCTCAGCTGCCTTGGGGCATGCCCATGCTGGGCCCCGGATGAGGGGAGCAGATGTGACACCGCTATGACCCCTCTCTTCATGTCTTCTCAGTGGATTTTGGGGTGAGTGCTCAGCTGGACCGCACCGTGGGAAGGCGAAACACTTTCATTGGGACCCCCTACTGGATGGCCCCGGAGGTCATCGCCTGTGACGAGAACCCCGATGCCACCTATGATTACAGGGTATGGACCAGAGCGTGTGCTGCATGGGGCAGCCAAGGCCGGAAGTGAGATGGGGGCGATGGGTAGATTGAAAATATCAGGGACGGAAGCAGCTTGGGGTGGGGGGGCAAAATGAAGGTCTAATGATGTGTTGGCTATGAGGGTTGGGGACGTTTTGTGGCAGGGAGGTATGGATGGGAATGTTGGGCAGGCTGGAGGACATGCAGGGTTAGAGGAGGGGCCTCAGGAAGGGATTGGCCAGCAAGGGGTTCTGAAGAGACCAGGGATTGTAGGTGAGGAGAGCCACCAGGAGCATTCACCTGTCCCTTCTTTCCCCCTCTGTAGAGTGACATCTGGTCTCTAGGAATCACAGCCATTGAGATGGCAGAGGGCGCCCCCCGTAAGTGCGGAGTCTGGGAGAGAAGGGAGGGCCCAGAAAGGGGCTGTCGGGAAGAGGTGGGCCCTGGGAGGTCCTGGTGGGAAGGGCTCCTGCAGGCTCTCCGTGTGGCCAAGGGGTTGATGGTCTCTTCCGTGTCCCAGCTCTGTGTGACATGCATCCCATGCGAGCCCTCTTCCTCATCCCTCGGAACCCACCGCCCAGGCTCAAGTCCAAGAAATGGTAGGTCTCTGGGGATTTGGTGTCAAGGAAGGTCTCTGGGCAAGGCCGCCTCCACCATAACCCCCTGGGGTCAGGTTTGGGCCTGCACCCTACAAGAGGCGTTGGGAGAGGCTGGTACTTGCAGCCAGAGCATTAGGGGTGCTGGTGTTGGGGTATGGAGAACACAGAAGGGAAGTCCAGGTAGCCTTTTTTTTTTTTTTTAATTTAAATTCTTTATTGTTTGAAGTATTACATAACTCTTCCTCTCCCCCCTCCCCCACTGACCGCTCCCCAGCCACTTCCACCCCCCAGCACATGCCCTCACCCCCCTACTGCCTGTGTCCTTTGGTTATGCTCATATACATGCATACAAGTCCTTCGGTTGATCTCTTACCCGGCCTGAAGTGGCTTTCTGATGAACGATCTCCCCTCTTCCTCCTGTGACACCCTCTTCCAAGGGGGCCCTCCTAGTGTGAGCCATTGTTTCCAGGTCCAAGAAGTTCATCGACTTCATTGACACATGTCTCATCAAGACTTACCTGAGCCGCCCACCAACAGAGCAGCTGCTAAAGTTCCCCTTCATCCGCGACCAGCCCACAGAGCGGCAGGTCCGCATCCAGCTCAAGGACCACATCGACCGATCTCGGAAGAAGCGAGGCGAGAAAGGTCAGCGGGGGAGGCGGGGGTGGTGGGTCAGGACACACTTCAGCCCTTGCTCCTCTTCACCAGCCCTGGCTCCTCCTTGCTCTCATTCGGGCACCTCTCCCGCACCCTAGCTGTCCCCATCCGAAGACACCCTAGCTGTCTCCATTCCCAGGCTTTCAACCCTAGAATGCCTTTTCTCATACCACCAATTCAAGCCAGCCGTCCAAATGAGCGTGGCCCTTTTACATCCTTACAGAAGTGTCCTGTTGAACACATTCATTTGTGAGTGCATGCACACATTTAGTCACATCCCACCTACTCTTGGGTCTAATCCCCATGTCTGTCCCGGCCCAAACCTGAGACCCGCCGCCATTCCATTGCTCCAAGGAGGTGGGCAGGGACCCAGGTGCGTGGCCATCCAGACAGATCTCATTGGTTGTCCCCGTCTAAGGTTTTCCTAGCCCAGGGTGGGGTCTGGGGCACTGGGTGAAGAAACAGCAGTGATCTCCCCCCTGCAGAGGAGACAGAATATGAGTACAGCGGCAGCGAAGAGGAAGATGACAGCCATGGAGAGGAAGGAGAACCAAGGTGGGCTTGGCAGGTGGAGTTTGGGGGCCTCACTTTTCGTCCGAGGGGACATTAGAGGGACTCTCAGCCTGGGGATGGTGGTGGGTTAGAGACCCATAAAACAATCTCCGCGTGCTGAGAAGAAATGGAGTGAATGAGCAAGAGGTGGCAAGAGCCCTGGCCAGCGTGGCTTGGTTGGTTGAATGTCGTCCTGTGCACCAAATGGGCGCTGATCTGATTCCTGGTCAGGGCACGTGCCTGGATTGTGGGCTTGGTTCCAGTAGGGGCATGCAGGTGGCAGCCAGTCCATATTTCTCTCCCTCTCAAAGAAAAAAAAAATAAAAATAAAAACGGATTAAAAAAAATAAGAAGTGGGGAGAGGGTGATTCAGGACTGCAGGCTGGGATGTTGCTAGAATACAAGACTGGGCAGGAGAGAGTGACCGTAGGCAGACTGTCTGGTCCAGGCAGAGCACCTACTCGGGTGGCTCCCAGGCGTGAAAGTGGGAAGTGGCTGGGTTCTGACCCCCCTGCCCCCCCCCCCCCTTATTGTGCCACCCTGATCCAGCTCCATCATGAACGTGCCCGGCGAGTCCACGCTACGCCGCGAGTTCCTCCGGCTCCAGCAGGAGAATAAGAGCAACTCGGAGGCTTTAAAGCAGCAGCAGCAGCTGCAGCAGCAGCAGCAGCGAGACCCCGAGGCGCACATCAAACACCTGCTGCACCAGCGGCAGCGCCGCATCGAGGAGCAGAAGGAAGAGCGGCGGCGTGTGGAGGAGGTGGGGGTCCTGGGAGCACCCGCCAGGCCTGGTGCGGCGCCCCTCCCGGTCCCATCCCTGCTTCCATGAGGACCACAGGGAGGAGGGGGAGCCAGCCAGGGCTTCCTAACCCCCTTCGTTCAGCACTGGATAAAAAGTGTCTGTCCTGTGGGAGGCCAGTCCCCATGTGCACTGCCCGCTCGTCAGCCCTGTGTGAATGGCGGTGCTGTCCGCGTCCCTTCGGAGCAGAGCCGTTTCTGAAAAGCCGCACTGGTTCCCCACAGACAGGACTGTCCCTGTCCTTGTGTCCACAAACTTCCAGCCAGGGCTGTCTGGCCCTGGGAGCGGGGCTCTGTGTACACACACTTCTAGCCCCGAACATCTGACTGATAAGCAGTTGTCTAGTCTGAACATGAAGAAGAGCCTTTTCTTTACCCTCTTTTTACTTTTAATTGTTGGGGGGCTTAGATTTGCTGGAAAGTACAGTCTTGTCAGTCAGAATTACTGGAGGTGGGTGGGAGAAATTCGTTTTAATTGAGAATCCTATTTTTAAATAGCTACAGTTTTTTATTTTATTTTAACAGCACCATTTTAAAAGATTTATATGCATATTTACTTTTTCTATGCATATCTATTTAATTGTATTTATTTTGCAGGGGGCCAAGGTGGGAAAGGCAAGATATAGGTTGGTTTTATTTTATTATTTATTTTATTTTATTTTATTTTAAATATATTTTACTGATTTTTTACAGAGAGGAAGAGAGAGGGACAGAGAGTTAGAAACATCGATGAGAGAGAATCATCAATCAGCTGCCTCCTGCACACCCCCCACTGGGTATGTGCCCGCAACCAAGGCACATGCCCCCGACCGGAATTGAAACCGGGACCCCCCAGTCCGCAGGCTGATGCTCTATCCGTTGAGCCAAACCGGTTTCGGCTATAGGTTGGTTTTAAAGATGCCTTACGTCAGTGGTAGGCAAACTGCGTCTCACAAGCCACATGCGGCTCTTTGGCCCCTTGAGTGTGGCTCTTCCACAAAATACCACGTGCGGGCGTGCACGTACAGTGCGATTGAAACTTCGTGGCCCATGCGCAGAAGTCGGTTTTCGGCTCTCAAAAGAAATTTCAGTCGTTGTACTGTTGATATTTGGCTCTGTTGACTGATGAGTTTGCCGACCACTGCCTTAAATGATGAACTTTCTGTTGAAACAATTACATGATTTCAAAGTTCACAGAGAGCTGGGCTTAACAAAAAAATTAATAGAAGCATCCACACTGTCTATGAACTGCTCCTCAAAGCAGGCCCTAGTCTTTGTTGAACAAAAAACAATTTGTAAGAACGCCTGCTACAAGAGAACATGGTAAATTTTGTTTTCAGTTAGTTGAGGGACAGAAAGTTGTGTCTGGCGGATGTTTCCTGGAGCAGGCCTGCCACCTCCTCATTGTGGAGGTAGGCCCCCACTGTAATGGCCCTAAGGGCTTAGCTTTTTTCCTTCGTTTCTAGAAGTTTCTGAACATGAAAGGTATTTTCTAAAGAACCACCTTTTTTGTTTCAGCTTAGCTTTGTTGGAAAGTACAGTCTTGTCAGGTGGGAGGGAGAAGTGCATTTTAATAGAGATCTTTTTCTCTTTTTCTTTTATTGGGGCAGACTCTTTGGTCAGAAAGATTGTGAAAGTAAAATGCAACTGAGCTTCTGTTTGCTAAGGACCTGGCCAAATCCCTCTCCTCCGGGTTGTGCTTTGTGCATTGGGCACCTGCTGCTCTCTTGTGGCCAAAGGCCATCATTACAGCCCACTCCTTTTGGATTTACAGGCAGGTGGTTTTGAGAGGCCAGGAATGTTGTTGACTCTGGTTTTTTGATGGGCAAATGGGTAGGAGAAGGTGTTATCCAATTCAGCCCACTCCAAGGGCAGCATCCAGCTGCTTAGTCTCTGGTTCCAAGCTCACAGCCACGTTGGACAAGTAATTTTCCCAAGCTAAGCTCCCCAGGGGCTCCTGTGTAGGAGTAGGCAGGTCTGTGGAAACAAGTTGAAGCCATTCTCTCTCACCGTCATCCCGGGTGAGAAGGAGTACTGTCCTCAAAGGGTCGCCTTTCCAGAAGATGCCCGAAGTGGGCTGGGTTTCCCCTTCCACGCTGTCTGAGTGTGCAGTCCTTAAGACCACACCTCTCTCACCCACAGCAACAACGGCGGGAGCGGGAACAGCGGAAGATGCAGGAGAAGGAACAGCAACGGCGTCTGGAGGACATGCAGGCCCTGCGGCGGGAGGAGGAGAGGCGGCAAGCAGAGCGGGAGCAGGTACAGGCCCCCAGCGTACACTGCACACACCCCTCCCTTCCCCTGGCCTCCCTGCCCGCTCCTGCTGCCTGCGTCCCTGCTCCCCGATACCCTTTTCCCCTTCTTTCCCTACCCCTAGATTCCTCCTATCTTTTCTAGCTTCACTCTTTCTCTCTGTTTTCTCCCACCCTTCTACCCCCAACCCTGGCTCCCTGCCCTCCTCCTGTCTCTGTGCCTTCATTCCCCATCTCTTTGCCCACCCTGACTCCTCTCCCCTGCACTTTCCCTCATGGGTCCTCCACCCTGACTTCCGCCTCATTTCCTGCCCCTTCGGGGCTCATCCCATCCCCGTCCTCTCTATTGCTCTTCCCTGCTCTCCTCATCCTCACCCCACCGACCCGACCTCTTTCTCCAACTCCTTCGCCGCCGCCGCCTTTTCCTCTTTCCCTGCCCTTTGCCCCCACCCCACCCCCACCCCCCAGGAATATATTCGTCACAGGCTAGAGGAGGAGCAGCGACAGCTCGAGATCCTTCAGCAACAGCTGCTCCAGGAACAGGCCCTACTGCTGGTAACGGGGTCCCCCAGCTTTCTCCGGGAAGACGTGTGTCAGAGCTTCTCTGCCGGAATGGAATGGGATGGGAGCACTTCAGGGGAAGGGATGCACCCAGGCCTCAGGGGAGACATCTCTCTAGGCAGGAGAAAAGAAAGGGCATGCCACCTCTAACTTCCAGGGCTACATCTTGCTGAGCCCCTCTTCCTACCCTTGGGCCCAGGAATACAAGCGGAAGCAGCTGGAGGAGCAGCGGCAGTCGGAGCGCCTGCAGAGGCAGCTGCAGCAGGAGCACGCCTACCTCAAGTCCCTGCAGCAGCAGCAGCAGCAGCAGCAGCTGCAAAAACAGCAGCAGCAACAGCAGCAGATCCTTCCTGGGGACAGGAAGCCCCTGTACCATTATGGTCGGGGCATTAACCCGGCCGACAAGCCAGCCTGGGCCCGAGAGGTACTCACTGCCTCCTTACAGCCCAAGACACCGTCCTCCCAGTCCCTCTGCCCGAGGCCTGAGCTGTAAGAAGTGGGCATCCCGCACTGGCGGACACTGAGAAGGGGAAAGGGGACGGCTCAGGCATGAGGGCTGGCGCAGTGGGGCAGACGGGGACTTACGTTTTGAGGACAGTGAAGCAAAAGCTGGCCTGCTTAGCACCCTTTTGAATCACAGGTAGAGGAGAGAACAAGGATGAACAAGCAGCAGAACTCTCCCTTGGCCAAGACCAAGCCGAGCAGCGCAGGGCCTGAGCCCCCTGTTTCTCAGGCCTCCCCTGGGCCCCCAGGACCCCTTTCCCAAACCCCTCCTATGCAGAGGCCGGTGGAGCCCCAGGAGGGACCGCACAAGGTGAGTTTCTTCCCACTCCTGTCTTAGCACAGACAGGGAGCCTTAGTCAGCGCGGGGACACGCGCACACAGACACATCCTTAGCCAGGGATCGCGGCCCTCATGATAGATACATGGGCAGAGACATCGCCTGCTTGCTGCTGCATGTCTGTTCCTACATCTTGCCTGCTCTTGGGCTCCAGGAGCCCCTTTCACTTGATGGATAATTGGAAGCTGGAGGCTTTACTTGCCCCTTCCTCTCAGCCCAGGCCCCGGCTCACAGGTGGGGATGTGCACAGAGTGGGCAGCCTACCCTCCCTGGTCTCTCCCTGCAGAGCCTGGTGGCACACCGGGTCCCACTGAAGCCATATGCAGCGCCTGTACCCCGATCCCAGTCCCTGCAGGACCAGCCCACCCGAAACCTGGCTGCCTTCCCAGCCTCTCATGACCCTGACCCTGCCGCCCCCACACCCACTGCCACGCCCAGTGCCCGAGGAGCTGTCATCCGCCAGAATTCAGACCCTACCTCGGAAGCGCCTGGCCCCAGCCCGAACCCCCCAGCCTGGGTCCGGCAGGATCATGAGGCCCCACCCAAGGTAAGGACAGGCCTGTGGGACCAGGAAAGAGCACAAAACACAGCTGACCCTTGAACAATATGGAGGTTAGGGGCACTGACTTCCACACAGTCAAAACTTTACGTGTAACTTTTTAAAAATATGTTTTTATTGCTTTTTAGAGAGGGAGGAAGGGATAGGGAGAAGGGAGAGAGATATAGAAACATTGATGAGAGAGAAACATTGATCCTCCTGCATGTCCCCAACCGGGGATTGAGCCCGCAACCTGGGCATGTGGCCTGACTGGCAATCAAATCAGTGACCTCGTGGTGCGTGGGTTGATACTCAACCATTGAACCACACTGGCCGGGCTAAGTGTAACTTTTAAATGCTCCCAAACTAAATTACTAATGGCCTGTTATTGACCAGAAGCCTTACCAGTAACATAAAGTTGATTGACACATAATTCTGTATGTTATACATATTATAGAAGCTAGAGAAAAGGAAACATTATTAAGAAAGTTATAAGGAAAAAATAATATGTTTACTGTGTTGTACGGGTTTCTTGAGAAAAATCTGTGTGTAAGTGGACCTGTGCAGTTCAAATCCCATGTTATTCAAGGGTCAACTACAGTAAGAGACAGAATGGAGGAGAGGGGAGGGAGCAGCGAGGTGGGGATGGGTTTGGGGTTGGAAGGCAAGAGAAAGACCAGTCATCCACCACAGCCGCAGTGCTGACGGGGCGACCGTCTGGGCCCGTGAATGTGTCGTGATCCCAGCGGGTGGTCCCGTGTGAGGGTGTGAGTGGAAGGATGCCCAGGGTGTTAGGGCAATTCTGGCGGATGACCGTCTGGGTTGGGATCCCGGCTCTGCCACTTCCTAGGTTCATGACTCTGAACAGATTCATCCACTTCCTTGAGCTTAGCTGACTTCACAAAGGCCCGGAGAGCACGCTGGGAGCCTCGGCGAGGATGAATGTCTGTGGTTCGGGCACAGAGCTGGCTCCCAGCACGCTGACCTCCTTCTCTCCTCAGGTGCCTCAGAGGACCTCATCTATTGCCACTGCCCTTAACGCCAGTGGGGCCGGAGGGGCGCGGCCAGCCCAGGCTGTCCGTGCCAGGTAACACCTGAGCAGAGCAAAGTTGGGTGGCAGGCTGGGGAGCGGGGCGGGGCCAGAGGGGAGTTTGCCAGGTTACCCGCTTAGGGGTGGGCAAGCCCCGACCCAGTCACCTCAGCCCCCTCCCCGCCCCTGCCCCCGGCACCTCTGTGCTCCCTTCACAGACCTCGCAGCAACTCCGCCTGGCAAATCTATCTGCAAAGGAGGGCGGAGCGGGGGAGCCCCAAGCCTCCAGGGCCCCCTGCTCAGCCCCCTGGCCCGCCCAACGCCTGTAGGTAAATGGAGTTGTCCCCTCACTCACTCCCACCCTCACTTCTGCCACCTACTTGCCTCCTCTGGTGATGGCGCCCTCTGCAGTGCAGCTCAGCCCCCAGGGAGGGGAGCACCGTGTCGCCCTGACCCGTCTCCGCTCTCCCACAGTAACCCCGACCTCAGAAGGAGCGACCCTGGCTGGGAGCGCTCGGACAGTGTCCTCCCCGCCTCTCACGGGCACCTTCCCCAGGCCGGCTCTCTGGAGCGGAACCGTGTGGGAGGTACGTGAGTGAGTGGGCCTGGTGGCCTGCTGGGGCCTGGACACGGTCTCCATCAGGGCAGGGCCTGAGACATCCTCAGGGGTAGGGTGGGGCCTGGGCTCAGGCCGAGGTCTCAGCCCAGGGTGTGGGCTCCAGGTCACCCCCATTCGGTGTCGGTGACCTCCCTTCTCCCACCGTGCCGTATCTAGCCTCTTCCAAACTGGACAGCTCCCCAGTGCTGTCCCCTGGGAACAAAGCCAAGCCTGACGACCACCGCTCACGGCCAGGCCGGCCCGCAGTAAGTCGGCAGGTGGCCGCTGTGGCCCTGCCTTCTGGTCTGTGACTTTGGGGCCAGCTTGGAGCCTCTTAAGCTCGGGTCCTGGGGCGTGGGCCTTCATTAACCTGCCTGAGGGGGGCGCTGCGGGATTACAGATGTACTTCTCCGTTACTAACCTTTCTTAACCTCTCTCCTGCCTCTCCTGGCTGTCCTTCCCCTGCGGCCCCTCCCAGAGCTATAAGCGAGCCATTGGTGAGGTTAGTGGGAAGGGGCCTGCTTGCGGGAGCCCTCCTGTGACCCTGCCCCTTCTCCTTGGACATCCTTTACCCCCGCCCCCCGCCCCCTCACTCAGCTCCTCCCTTGCAGGACTTTGTGTTGCTGAAAGAGCGGACCCTGGACGAGGCCCCGCGGCCTCCCAAGAAGGCCATGGACTACTCCTCGTCCAGTGAGGAGGCGGAGAGCAGTGAGGACGACGAGGAGGAGAGCAATGGCGAGCCATCAGAAGGGAGCAGAGACACCCCTGGGACCCGGTACGGGGCTCCCTGGGGGCGGTGGCACGCCCACATACATCAGAGGCACCCAGAGAGGGGTTGTGGGTTCGAGGGAGGGGGATCTCTGGGCCAAATCTGTGGGGAACCCTGGTGTCACTGCTGGTGAGTGATCCCTTCCTTCCTCTAGAGGAGGGGGTATGAGACGGGCGTTCCTCTCTCTCCCGTTGTGCTGTCAGTGGGGCGGTGGTCTCTTCGGGTATCTCCGTACCACCAGCCTTCCCCAACCCAAGAGCAGGGCCCAGGACACCCAGCAGCGGGTCAAGGTTGCTCATAAGGGCTGAGTGCATTGTGTTCTGAAGAGTCTGAAGCCGAAAGCGCTAGGCCTCCTGGTCTCGCCTGCTGCCGTGGTACTTGGGTGGCAGGCAGGACCTGGAGGGCCTCAGACCTCCCTCTCTCCCATAGCAGCGATGGGGACACAGACAGCGTCAGCACCATGGTGGTCCATGACGTGGAGGAGAACACCGGGACCCCGACCACCTATGGGGGTGGCACCATGGTGGTCCAGCGTGTGAGTTGGCACCCCATTCTTCCCAGCGCCTGCCGTGACCCTCCTTGGCCCTAGCACTGGCCCCCTTCCCTCTGTTCCTTCAGACACCTGAAGAGGAGCGAAGCCTGCTGCATGCCGACAGCAACGGTTACACCAACCTGCCCGACGTGGTCCAGCCCAGCCACTCGCCCACTGAAAACAGCAAAGGTCAAAGCCCCCCGATGAAGGATGGAGGCAGCGATGTAAGTGGGTGCAGGCAGGTCCATGGGACGGGGGGAGGGCACTGGCAGTGGGCAGATCAGGGGGTGTGTGGGGGTTACTGCGCCGGGCGGGCAGAGCACCTGGGCCAGGGTTTCCCCGAGGGCACATGGGGCCAACAATAAAGAGGGGCCACAGGCCGGGGTCTCACGTGTTTGCCTGACCACCACTCCTCCCCCCACAGTACCAGTCTCGTGGGCTGGTGAAGGCCCCTGGCAAGAGCTCGTTCACGATGTTTGTGGACCTGGGCATCTACCAGTCCGGAGGCAGTGGGGACACCATCCCCATCACAGGTGAGGATGGGGGACGGCGCTGCCGGGAGGCCTGGAGAGGGCAAAGGGGAAGCCCGGTGATGCGGTTCACAAAGCATCACCGCCTCCCCTCCCCTGAGCACGGCCCTGCACAGAGGCCGCAAGAGCCCCTGAGCCTCTAACCCGAGAGGAACGTGCTCAGCAGCACAGGGGCCCCCGGGGACGGGAGGAGCAGTTTGCAGGCCTCTGGCTGTTTCAGCTCCCTCGTGCACCTCCTCCAGTCCCTGGTCTCTCTCTTTCCCTCTGAGTGTTCAGAGGAGCGAGACTGAGTGTGAGGGTAGAGTAAGAAGAGGCAGGGTGAGGGGGCGCAGCCCACCCCGCTTCTCTTCCCCCCGCAGCCCTCGTGGGCGGAGAGGCCAGTCGGCTTGATCAGCTGCAGTACGATGTGCGGAAGGGCTCCGTGGTCAACGTGAACCCCACCAACACCCGGGCACACAGCGAGACCCCCGAGATCCGCAAGTACAAGAAGCGATTCAATTCCGAGATCCTCTGCGCGGCCCTCTGGGGTAAGCCAGGGCTGGGGCGGAAACGAGGGATCCGTGCGCCCCTCTGCTCCTGGTCGGGTGAGGGCCCGGCCCCGCCTCTGATCTGCCCAAGGGCTCCCATTGCAGGCGTCAACCTGCTGGTGGGCACGGAGAACGGGCTGATGCTGCTGGACCGCAGCGGGCAGGGCAAGGTGTACGGACTCATTGGGCGGCGGCGCTTCCAGCAGATGGATGTGCTGGAAGGACTCAACTTGCTCATCACCATCTCAGGTGTGTGCGTGGGGCCCGGAGGAGGGGGCTCGGCTCCGTGGCTCTCTGTCACCATCTCCAGCCTGGGCAGAGGGCAGCCTTGGTCCAGGAGCCGGAAGGTGGGGCCGCTCTCTCACCCCTTGTGGTACGCAGAAAAGGATGGCGGGAGGCAGGATCTGGATCTCCAACGAAGGGAGGGTGTGCGTGCGTGTGTGTCCTCGCCCCTCAGGGAAAAGGAACAAACTGCGCGTGTATTACCTGTCCTGGCTCCGGAACAAGATTCTGCACAATGACCCGGAAGTGGAGAAGAAGCAGGGCTGGACCACCGTGGGGGACATGGAGGGCTGCGGGCACTACCGCGTGGGTGAGGAGGTCACAGCAGAGCGGCCAGGGCACGTTTGTTTCTGAGAAGAGATGAGGGTTCGGGCTTAATGGTCATGAAGCCAGAGACGTGGGGGCCTGGTACTGGGGGGTGCAGTGACAGACCTGTGGGAGGGGCCCCGCAGCCCAAGAAGGGAAGTCCCAGCATCCCTCTTCTTTCCTGCCCCCAGTGAAATACGAACGTATTAAGTTCCTGGTCATCGCCCTGAAGAATTCCGTAGAGGTGTATGCCTGGGCCCCCAAACCTTACCACAAATTCATGGCCTTCAAGGTAATCCCAGCCTTAGCCCCCCATCCCTGTTCCGGGGTCTGACTCCCCCAACCTGTGTCCCCTGATCCCTCCTCTCCTCCGCAGTCCTTTGCTGACCTGCCTCACCGCCCTCTGCTGGTGGACCTGACGGTAGAGGAGGGCCAGCGGCTCAAAGTCATCTATGGCTCCAGCGCTGGCTTCCACGCCGTGGATGTCGACTCGGGGAACAGCTATGACATCTACATCCCTGTTCACGTAAGCTCGCCTGGACTGTGGGCAGAGGGGGGCCGCCAGCCTGGGCTGCAGACTCAGGGACTCCAGCCCTCCTCCCAGATCCAGAGCCAGATCACGCCCCACGCCATCATCTTCCTCCCCAACACCGACGGCATGGAGATGCTGCTGTGCTACGAGGACGAGGGCGTCTACGTCAACACGTACGGGCGGATCATCAAGGACGTGGTGTTGCAGTGGGGAGAGATGCCCACTTCCGTGGGTGAGTGGTGCCTGTCCCCGAGCCGCACATCCCCGAGCCCGGCCCTAGGTGGGCCTGGGCCGCAGTCCACTCACTGCCCCTCAACTTCTTTCTCCCCCAGCCTACATCTGCTCCAACCAGATAATGGGCTGGGGCGAGAAAGCCATCGAGATCCGCTCCGTGGAGACGGGACACCTGGACGGGGTCTTCATGCACAAACGAGCTCAGAGGCTCAAGTTCCTGTGTGAGCGGAATGACAAGGTGGGAGCCCTTCGCCCCTGGGAAGGGCCGGGGCCTGCGTTGGTCTGGCTTCCGAACCTTAGGTTCCTACCAAGGAGGTGACCATGGTGGGGTCTCTGAAAGGGGCCCTTGGGGAGCCCGCACGCAGTCACAGCCTGCCCTTTCCCTTCCCCCACCTGTTTCTGAGAATTCCCAGGTCCTTTCACCCAGTGGTCTGCCGGCTGCCCTCTTCCCCAAGCACTTCTGCTCCTCAGGGGGATAGGAATAGTTCTTTCTTTTTTTGGGGGGTTATCCTCACCCAAGGATGTTATTTTTTTCATTGAATTTTAGAGAGGGGGTGGGGGTGGAGAGAGAGACACATCAGCTGGTTGCCTCCTGCATACAGAAGATTGAACCTGCCACCCAGGAATGAGCCCTTGACCAGGAATCGGCCCTGCGACTCTGTGTGTTGCGTGGGCCATTGCTCTAACCACTTACCAACACTGGTCAGGGCGGGATGGGGTTATTCTGAGAGACTGAACTGCAGCGTCTTTCTCCCTCTCCCAAGTAATTGAAACCCCCGCCCCAATCCCTTGGTGACTTCTTCTCCTCTCACCGCTCCCCCCCCCCCCCCAGGTATTTTTTGCCTCCGTCCGCTCTGGGGGCAGCAGCCAAGTTTACTTCATGACTCTGAACCGCAACTGCATCATGAACTGGTGACAAGCCCTGGGCTGGAGCGCTCGCACGGGGACCCAGCTCTCCCCCCACAGCCAGACTTCCCAGGCCGCCCTGCTTCCCCCTCCTTGGGCTTTTGCTTTTACTGGTTTGATTCACTGGAGCCTGCTGGGAACGTGACCTCTGACCCTTGATGCTTTTGTGATCACATGACCACCTTCTTCCCCAACATGTTCTCTTCCCCAAAACTGTGCCTGTCCCATCTTCTGGAGAGAGGCACAGCTTCCCCTTAACAGGAATTGAGTGGGCTTAGCCCCATCCCCCCTTTTCTCCACTTAAGAGGAGAGTGCTTGGGGCTTGGACCCCGTACCCCACTGCTGCTGACTGGGCAGGGCCCTGGGCCCCTTTATTTGCACGTCAGGGGAGCCGGCTCCCCCCTTGAATGTACCAGACCCTGGGGGGGTGTCACTGGGCCCTAGGTTTTAGGGGGGTCACCAGCCACTCCAGGGGCAGGGACCATTTCCTCATTTTCTGAAAGCACTTTAATGATTCCCCTCCTCCCAAACCCCAGGGAATGGAAGGGGGACCCCGCCAGCCAAAACATTTCTCCCTTTCCAACCCTCATCTCTTCTAGCCTCTGTCCTCTCCTGGTGGAGGGAGGGAGCATGGAGCTCTGGCCCTCTGCACCCCCTTGCTTGCATCTGTATATAGTGTGAGCAGCAAGTAGCCCTGTTCCCTCCCTGCCCCTCCCCCTCCTCAATGTAGTGGCCTTGGATATCCCGTTTGTTAATAAAGACTATTCAACCAGCTCCCACCACTTCAGACTCCTTTTTATTCTGTTTTTTCGCCCCCACAATCCATATACTCACCAGGGCAAGCAAGCAGAATTAGGACAAATGGGGGCAGGTGGGGTGGAATCTACAATGAGCTTGGGGATCCAAGTAGATGGGCAGTACTTAACCAAGAAAACCTAGAAGAAATGACTGAGGGAGGGCCAGGGCATCCACAGCCTCACTCCCTGGGGGCCCGGTGGGGCCTGCCCTGAGGGCATTTGTCCCAGCTGCTCCAACAGGGCCAGGCCGGAGGGACCTGCTTCCTGTCTCCAGCCTCCCGTAAGTGCCAGTCCTGCAACGGAGTCTCCTGTGTGGCTATCAAACAGCTGCCGCCTTAGAAGCTCACAGGGCTAGGTCTTATGCGGCTGAAGCCTGCGCAAAACTGGAAGGTCAACAAGGCTGAATCTAGGATGGTCTTTGCTTCCCAGAGGATTGGCATTCAATCCAAGATGGCTTGAACCACCATCTTGGCTGGCTCAGTGGTTGGGGCGGGAATCTGTGAACCCGGAGGTCATGGTTCAGTTCCGGTCAGGGCACATGCCAGGTTATGGGCTTGATTCCTAGTGTGGGGCATGAAGGAGGCAGCCGATCAATAATTCTTTTTTAAAAAATATATTTATTTTTTACAGAGAGGAAGGGAGAGGGATAGGGAGCTAGAAACTTCAATGAGAGAGAAACATCAACCAGCTGCCTCCCGCACACCCCCTATGGGGATGTGCCCGCAACCAAGGTACATGCCCTTGACCGGAATAGAACGGGGGACCTTCAAGTCCTCAGGCCGATGCTCTATCCACTGAGCCAAACCGGTTTCGGCTGATCAATGATTCTTATTGATACTTCTCTCTCCCCCTCTCCAAAATCAATAAAATTTTTTTTAAAAAGTCCTCCCTCTTTCTAATCCCTGCTCAGTCACCAGACCTCCACACTTGTGCACACGCAACATGTGTTTACAAAATACTGGTTTATTATCTGTGGTGGTCAAGGATCATGATATAGCAGTGGTAGTAGCAACTTGTTTTTCAAAATCTATTTCCTCCTGGAGATGGACAGGAACCAGCTCAGGCCTTGATGCACGGAGGGTAGGGCAGGTCGGGCACCCGGTTTAGGTAGCCCCCCAGGAAGATGAGGCTGGAGCCCACACTGAAGAGCACCAGCGCCGCCCAGAAGCAGACGTTGTCCAGGGCCTTCCCCATGCGCAACCAGTCGGACACCTCCTAGGAAGGGGTGGGCACGAGCTGAGTGCCTACAGGCTGCAGGAGCCTGCAGCGCAAACGCTGGTGGGGCGGCCCCTGACTCGCGCCCCACCCACCTCGCCGGCGGCCTCCTGGTCTCGCGTGCTCTCCGCCAAAAAGTTGATGGCCTCCACACAGCAGCGGATCTCGGGGGCGGCGGCGCCCAGGCTCTGGTAGAGGGCGGCTGCGGGAAGGAGGAGCAACCAGGGGGGCTGTTGGGCCTCCCCTCCTTCCAGCGCCCCCGGTTGGCCCACCCGGCCACGCTACGCACCGGTCCAGGTGCCGTGCCGGTACCGCTGCCCCTCAAACACGAGCTCGCTTCGCGGCTTTTTCAGGATCAGCTCCTCGGCTCGGAGCAATAGGCCCACGGACGAGGCCCGCCTCGGGACCAAGGCTGCCCCGGGGGCCTCCGGAGGCGCGCCCGAGCCCAGGAGGCGCGGCAGCAGCTCCAGCAAGACCTGGGGGCGGGGCGGGGCTGTGAGTGGGCGGGGCTTAGAGCAAAGGCCCACCCCCCCTCGCCCCGCCCCGTCCCCGCCCCGCGCTTACGTGGCGCATCCGCGGGGACGTGGCGTGAGTGGCGGGCGTCCGCAAAGACACGTTGAGCACGAAGACGCAATTCATGACAATGAGCGTGGCCACCACCATGACGAAGATGAGGTACCTGAGGGGCCCGGGGTGCGTGACGTCACACACACACACACCCACACACACCCGGCCGGAAGCCGCAGGCGGAGCCCGGTCCTCTGACCTCACAAACACACCTCGCCGCCCGCCCGGAGTGGGGCCGCCCCAGCCGCGCCTCTGCGGGGCCGCTCGCGCTCCGCGGCCCTCTCCCTTCCCTGCCACGCCACTCGTGGCAGCCATGAAGGGGACCCCCGGCTCCCTGGAGACCATGCTGTGGGTCTACCACTTCCACAGCTCCACGGAGGTGAGGCGGCGCCCGCGGCCCGGCCTGCGGGGAGCGCCTCGGGGAGACCCCCGGGGAAGGTCTCCAGCGGCCCTCGGCGCGACCTCTGCCCCGTGACCCGCCGGCGCCACCGCCCCTGCTCCTTCTGCAGGTGGCGCTCCAGCCCCCGCTCCTGTCTTCGCTGGAGCTCGCCGTGGCCGCGGCCCACGAGTATCTGGAGCAGAGGTTCGCGGAGCTGAAGTCGCGGGAGCCGCCCGCCCCGGAGCCCACCCTGGGGCTGCTGCTGAGAGAGGCCGCGGCCAGCGTCGTCAACTTGGGCGCCACCTTGTTAGAGGTAGGGCGCTGGGGGGGGGGGGGCGGGGGGGGCCGAGGAGGGGCAGGAAGGGGGATAGGGAGGGACCTCCGCACCCCCAGCTGACTCCGGTTCCCTCCATGAAGATCTCGGCCCTGTGGCTGCAGCAGGAGGCGCGGGGACTCGGTGGAGAGGACGGCAGCGCGGGCCGCGCCCCGGACGCCGGAGACCCCGGCGGCGCGCTGGCCCGGGTGGCCCAGGCCGCGGGGCAGGGCGCTCGGCGAGCGGGGGCTGCGGTGGGCGCGAGCGCGCGGTTCCTGCTGCAGGGGGCGTGGCTGTGCCTGAGCGGCCGGGCTCCGCGGGGGTCCGCCTCCCTCCTGCAGCCGCGCGGAAGCCGGCTGCTCCCGGAGCCCCCGGGCCACTGGTGAGTTCGGGATGAGGAGGTGATTTGGGAGCCAGAGGAGGCGCGCGCGGTTGGGGAGACATGGAGCCGCCTCCCCCACACCCCCGGCCACAGAGATGCTCGGAAGACCTCAAGGAGGCGTCCAGCGGCAGAGCAGAGGATGGGGGACCGGAGAGCCCACAGTCGTCCCAGGCCCACCCTGCGTTCAAATAAAGCCCAGGCGGAGAGAGGCAGCCGAAGCAGCTGCAGAGTCCTTTGGTTCCGGCCCCGCCCACTCCGACCCAACCCTCTTAGCCCCGCCCACCACGACACACACCTCCTCTGAGCCCCGCCCCGCCCCGTCTGGCTCCGCCCTCCGCGTGGGCACCGTCGGGACCCCGGGGACCGTCGCGCCCGCACCTGCCCAGCAGCGGGACGCTCAGAGACGTCTCTGGGATCTTCTGGGCGATCAGGAACAGGAAGACGGTCTGGGCGAGCAGGACGTTGATGGAGACGGTGCATTTCTGGCCGCCGGCTGCAGGGAGCGCCCAGGGAGAGCTATTGCCCGCCCCCCCCCCTTCTCCCCACTCCCCAGCACGAGCCCCTCTTTCGGGTTGGGGCGATCCCTCACCCTGCGCCGGCAGGAAGTAGGGGAGCAGCACCAGGCCCGAGATGAGCACGCAGGGCACGATGATGTTGATGATGTAGAAGAGCGGCTTCCGGCGGATGATGAGCGAGTAGACGATGTCCACGTCCCCGCGGCCGTCCGCGGGCTCTCGGTCCCGGTGGTGGATCTCCCCGGAGCAGAAGTCGATGGCCCACTCGCCGTTCTCTGCGGGGCGGGGGCGCGCTCAGCCGGCTCTGCGCGGCGGGCCGGCCGGGGTGGGAGGGACACGGGGGCTGGAGAGCTTGGGCCTGGGGCTGCCGGCAGGGGGGCCATTTGGGCAGGGCCGGAAGGGTGTTCGGGTGCGGTATGGACCGACCTCGAGGAGGTAGGACGGGTCCGACCATCGAGAGTCATTTCAGGAAAAGGGCAAGTGAAAACGCGGTGGCCAAAGTCGGTCCCTAGGATGGATGGATGGTCTGGGGCAGCCCCACTCTGCAAGTCCCTTCCTTCTCTTGGCCCGTCTGGAAGCGGGTTTTAGGAGCGGGGGGACAGGGGGACCTCACCGGTATAGGCCTCCGTGTCAATATCGATCTTGCTGACGGGTTCGCCGTCATCTCCTACCACAAAGGCGAACTCCACCTCTTGGGCATTGTACGTCTGGGAGCTGTGGAGGCAGGGGGGGCCCCCACCCCAGAAACTCGGACCCAGGCCCTAGCCTCAGGCCCTGTCCTGGAAAGATGGGGTCTGGCGGGGTAATAACGCCCCACCCCGTTTTCTCCACAACTTCAAATTTGCCCCACCCACTCCGGAGCCTGGCTCCGCCCCCGGCACAAAGCCCCGCCCCCAGATGAGTGTTTCTCTCCCCACTACCTCCCTCTCCCCCTTAGGACGCCGTCCCCTGCCCCCCTAACCCCGCAGAGCCCGGCCCCCATGGAACCCTCCCCACCGGAAGACGAGCGAGCAGTTCTGCCAGTCGAAGGGGAAGTAGGAGACCTCCACGGCGCAGGTGCTGCGGTAGATGGCGGGCGGCAGCCAGCTCACGAAGCCGCCCTCGTACACCAGCACGTTGCAGTCGTAGGCCACCCCGAAATTGCCGTCGATGCTGTGGGCTCCCAGAGAGCCGGCGTTGGTTCGCCGAGGTCCGCGAGCCCTCGCCCTCCCGCCCCCCACCCAGGTCCGCCCAGCCCCACTCAGGCCTTGGCTGCGAGCAGCCCGGTTTCCGTTCGCCCCTTACTTGTTCTCCAGCACAATCTCTGGCAGCCATACGCTTTGTGCTGGGACCCTCAGGGTCCCTAAGCCCCCGAAGTCCGCCTTGCTGAAGTTGAGCCGGTAATCGTGCCAGTCCTATGGGGGAGGGTGGGGGGGAGTAGCGGGGACGACGACGTGCTGCGCCCTGCGTCTCCCACTGGTGCGCGCGCGGGGCGTTTGGGTAGAAAGGGGCTCCCTGGACAAGACCTCGCCCTGTCCCCCCAGGTGTGACTCACAATTCCAATCCAGACGCTGGTGGTGAGGGTCTCCTCTTTCTCGTTCTGCGCGGGGGAGAGGAGGCGGCGTTCCAGAGCCACACCATGAGCTTTAGGACAGCAGTGCAATGTCAAGCTCAGATGCGGCGGCGCTGGGAACGGAGGTGGGTGTCTTACCAGTGAGATGAGGTTGGTCAGGGTGACCTTGAGGTTGATGCTGACTGTGTCCTCAGGCCTCCTCACTGGCCTGCATTTGGGGTCATAGTTGTCGAAAAGATGGTGGTAAAGGCGCAGCTCCTCACTCGTCCCCTCGCCTCGGCCTGGGGATGGTGACAAGCCTTAGAGTCACTTGAGAGGAAGAGGCTGGAGGGCCTCCCCCCGCCTCTGCTCCCTCCGATTCTGTCCAGGGCTCTGCTTCTCTGTGTGTCTGCCTCTGAGACTGTGTTTTCCTGTGAATGTCTTCTGAACCGATGTCATTGTGCTTGGGGACCAAATATTGCAACCCAGTCTACATCTTGGTCTCTGTCTTGGTCTTAGGATAGTGTCTCCGTGTGTGTGTGTGTGTGTGTGTGTGTGTGTGTCTCCAACCACCTCCCCCGACCCTGTCCATACCAAGAAGCTGCAAGAGGAACAGGGTGCTGAGCAGAGCCCTCGCCATCCTGCTGTCTGGTCCTCGGGTTATTCTGAACCTGGGCAGGCTTGGCGCGGGGCAGGCCAAAGCTCATGAAGTGAGGGGGAGGAGGGTGTTAGTTCCGGCCTGAGTTAGGGAACTGTCACCTAATCCTCTTACCGCCCTGCCCCTGCTGAAGCCAGGGACATCTTGTCTGCTTCCAGGGACAGCTGCTTCATCCCGTGTTCCCTGTCACCACCCCATCCCAGCATCCTTTGCTTGGACTTCAGTCAGCTCCCCCGCAGCAGAGCTCCTCCTCTCATGACCGGAGCAGGCCGAGTTCAGGTGATGGGGTCCTTTCAGAGCACCTGGAACCACCAGCCTGGCCGCAGGGGGGTGGGGAAACCCTGCTTTCCCCCTGCACTGCTGCCCTTTCCATAAGCCGCCTTGTGCAGGTGACATCCCTGGCCTCATACTCACCCTTGTGGAACACACATTACCACCGCGCCCAGCCCAGTCAAGGTCACACTGGTGCGGTTTCTGCTGGCAGAGTTTGGCAGAAGCACAATGTCTGTAAAGACCTGGTGAGGAGATAGGCGGTCACAGGGGAGTAGTCTGCAGTAATAGACTTCAGCTGGCCAAGATGACCATGATGAGCTATAGGGCCCCGCTCCTCCCACAACCCATGCCCGAGTCTACCCACTCCCACCCTTCTCCTTGCCTCTCGCTGTTGCCACCTGGTGCCCACATATGATAGTATTGTTTTCCCCACCCCTAATACACACACACACACACATTCCTAATTGATTCTTTCATTAAAGTCTCCCTGGACCACCTTAATCAATTACCAAGGATGCTTATTTAAAATTCAGATGTTGCCAAAACCCGTTTGGCTCAGTGGTAGAGCATAGGTCTGCGGACTGAGGGGTCCCAGGTTCGATTCTGGTCAAGGGCATGTACATTGGTTGCGGGCACATCCCCGGTGGGGGGTGTGCAAGAGGCAGCTGGTCGATGCTTCTCTCTCATTGATGTTTCTAGCTCTATCTCCCTTCTTCCTCTCTGTAAAAAATATCAATAAAATATATTTTTAAAAAAGGTCCTACTTGTAAATGTAAACAAACACACAAAAATCTCATGTCATGTCAAAAAATCATTCAAATAACATGTCAAGGATAAATTATTTAAAAAAAAAAAAAGATTGCTGTATTTCCAGAAGGCAACAATAGGTAAAATGCAATATAAAAAATAAAAATAAAATTCAGATGTTGCCAAAACCGGTTTGGCTCAGTGGATGGAGCATCAGCCTGCAAACTGAAGGATCCTGGGTTCGATTCCAGTCAAGGGCATGTACCTTGGTTGCGGGCATATCCCCAGTGGGGGATGTGCAGGAGGCAGCTGATCGATGATTTTCTCTCATCGATGTTTCTAGCTCTCTATTCCTCTCTATAAAAAAAATCAATAAAATATATTGATATTTTAAAAATAAATAAATAAATAAAATTCAGATGTTTAGTCTCCATCCCCAAAGAATCCCCCAATTTAGGAAGATGGCAGAGATGGGATGCCGGGAATCTTTTTTAAGAAGCTATCCAGCCCTGGCCTGTGTGGCTCCATTGAGCATCTCTAGCACTGGAAGGTCACAGGTTCAATTCCAGTCAGGGCACATCCCCGGGTTTCGGGTTTTATCCCAGTGGGGTGCATATGAGAGGCAACCAATCTCTCTCTCTCTCTCTCTCTCTCAAATCATCTAGCTTCCTAGTAACAGTGCTGATCCTCTCATGACTGGTGAAACATCAATGATCTCTAAAATCAATAAAACCATTTTTAAAGCAAGCTATCCATATATTTCTTCATGGGTGGAAGGTACTGGACTGAGAAGCACTTTTTATGCCCCAGGCCTTGCCTCCTCAAGCCAATCCAGCAATGCAGTTACCATTGTGCTGAATGTATAAAATTGGTCTAAGGTCACAGAAATAGTTTGGCAATAATGCATGAGACTTATCCATAAGCCTTATTAATCATTTTTACCTGTGTTCATTTTACACCTCACAAAACATTGTCATGGCCATTTGGGGGCCTCCTTCCTCTACCTGTGAGGTCCCCATGTTACAGGCATGGACACTGAAGATCAGACGGTTCATCCATTTCCCACACATCTTTGAAGCTTCTCTGCTTCCTCTGTTAACTGCCTTAGTATTCCACGTTTCCCACTTCAGACCCCCAGAAAGAATCTACGTGGCCCAGCTCACCTTTCTGCATGTGGCTAATACATATACTGATTCTAAAGTCTGTGATGCTGCTTATTCCAGAGTCTCTAGATTAGGGGCTGGGCAAAGAGTTGTGATAAAGAGATATTTATTCAAACACTAGTGGGTATCTGCAACACTCCCTGAGCAGGGTCAGATGCTGTTATTATAGAGATGAATAAGACATGGCCTCAAGGAGCAGAGGAAGGCTTATAAGCAGGCAGTGTCTCCAGAACTGTCAAAAGGGTGAAAAAGCAAGAGCCACTTGGCTGGTGTGGCTCAGTAGTTGAGAGTTGACCTATGAACCAGGAGGTCACGGTTGGCTTCCGGGTCAGGGCACATGCCTTGGTACAGGCTAGGTCCCCAGTGTGGGGCATACAGGAGGCAGCTGATCAATGATTCTCTCTCATCATTGATATTTCTACCTTTTCCCTTCCTCTCTGAAATCAATAAAACTATTTATTTATTTTTTTTAAACATACAGTAGTCAGGCAAAGCCACATCTAGACCAACAGTCTGCATGAGGGAGAGTAGTTTGGGTTGGAGGGAGAGTACGTAGAAATCCTCATTCCTTGCTGCCCAAGCCCTGAGTTGCTGCTTGGTCATTAGCCCACCGTGTATCACATTGGACACAGAGCACCTTGCTGCGGGACCCCTGGCTGGGGCTGTAACTCATAGGTGAAGGTCTTGCTCAGACCAGTGAATCCCACCTACATCTCTTGCAAAGTCTGCACATCAGAAACCTTCCCCTACTGCTCTCACCCGTTGGGCTGTGAATAGAGTGACGGCCTGTGGACGGAAGGGGCTGTGATTTGATTCTGGTCAAGTGCACATGCCTGGGTTGTGTGCTGGATCTCCAGTAGGGGGCATGCAGGAGACAGCCAATCAGTTCTCTAATCATTGATGTTTCTCTCTCTCCCTTCCTCTCTCTGAAATATATATATTTCTTATTAAGAGATTGAATATATCTTAATAAGAAACCTTCCCTTATGTAGTCGCCAGGAGGGCCGCTCACCCCTCAGCCCTCCCCCCTCCCCTTCCCTACTCCTGGCCGCAATCCATCCCACTTGTGCTGGCACAGAGCTAAGTCATCTTTTTTTCTTTCCTTCTTTTCTTTTTGCTGTTTGCTCAGGATCACAATTGTCTGAGGGACTGAGACTTTCTTTCAAGTTGATGGAGTGAGGCACCGCACTCAGACCTGGGTTTTGTGTTTTTATAATAAATAAAAAAAATCCACAGATCCTTAGTGGGCTCTCTGCAGTTTGGTTTCTGGGTCGCCTTCACTTCCAAGCTAGACGCAAAGATCTCAGCTCAACAGGAAGCCACTCCCTGCACCTACTGGCTCTTGGCTGGTAACTCGGAACAGCTGCAGCTGCCCCCATTGGCCAGGCCAAGCTTCTCTTTCTTAGTCATCAGTGTCCTCACAGTGGAAACATGCCCAAGCTGCTCTGCCCGAGGGCCGCCTCTGACACAGCAGAAAGAGACCCGTTTGCAAGGTGGGAGCGTGGACGGGCTGAGCGAGGGCAGGAGCAGACACTGACTTCCAGGCTGCCCTCCTCGCTGGAACCTCAGCTCTCCCGTCACTGAGACCTTCCTGGTTTACTGTGCTCCAGGCACACAGCACAGAGCCCAGCACAGAATAGGCATGCAGTGAAAATTTACGGAATAAATGAATGAGTGCCTTCAACTATATGGTAATGGAAGATGATTTGACCTTGGGATGTGTGCACACAATGCATTATACAGATATCATAGAAAGGTAAACTTAAAACCTATGTAATCTTATTAACCAACATCACCCCAATAAATTTAATTAAAAAAAAAAAAAAAGAGCTCTCGGCGTCCGGCTTGGTTCGCGGCGACATGGCTAAACGCACCAAGAAGGTCGGAATCGTCGGTAAATACGGGACCCGTTATGGCGCCTCCCTCCGGAAAATGGTGAAGAAGATTGAGATCAGCCAGCACGCCAAGTACACCTGCTCCTTCTGTGGCAAAACCAAGATGAAGAGGCGAGCCGTGAGGATCTGGCACTGTGGATCCTGCATGAAGACAGTCGCTGGTGGTGCCTGGACCTACACCACTTCTGCTGTCACAGTAAAGTCAGCCATCAGAAGACTGAAGGAATTGAAAGACCAGTAGGAGCTCCACAGTTGGAAATATTGTGAGCCTATAATAAATGGGTTACTTTATATGAAAAAAAAAAAGAGTGCCTTCCCTAGGCGGTTTGGCTTAGTAGATAGAGCGTCGGCCTGCGGACTGAAGGGTTCCGGGTTTGATTCCGGTCAAGAGCATATCATATACCTTGGTTGCAGGCCCCTCCCCAGCTCTCGCAGGAGGCAACCAATCGATGTGTGTTTTTCTCACATTGATGCTTCGCCCTGTCTTTCTCTCTCTCTCTCTCTCTCTCTCTCTCTCTCTCTCTCTCTCTCTCTCTCTCTCTCAAAATCAGTGGAAAAATATCCTCGGGTGAGGATTTTAAGAAATAAATAAATACAAACGTACAAACTCATGCTTATCTTCCCAGCACCCTCCCATCTACTGAGAACTCTTCATTTCCAGCCCTGTGACTCCAGAGCAGGGGTCTTCAAACTTCTCTCATTATGAGAATCACCTGGTGGAATTGTTAAAACACAGATTCCCGGATCCCAACTATAAGAAGTGCTATCAGGAATCTGTGTTTTAACACCTCCACCAGGTGATTCTCATAATGAGAGAAGTTTGAAGACCCCTGCTCCAGAGGCTCTGCCAAGTACTTAGACTCCTCACCTGGGGCCAGAGTCAATGGATCCAGACCACCTGGCAAAGAAAGCCCTTCCCTGAGAATTCTGTCAAGCAGCAGCTGAGGAAGTCAGTCTCTCTCCCTGCTGTGGGAGGGCAAGATGTAACCTTCACATTTTTGTTGTTATTAACCCTCACCAATGTTATGTTCCCATTGATTAAACTTCAGAGAGAGCTGAAACCGGTTTGGCTTAGTAGATAGAGCGTTATGTTCCCATTGATTAAACTTTAGAGAGAGCTGAAACCGGTTTGGCTCAGTGGGTAGAACGTTGGCCTGCAGACTGAAAGGTCCCAGGTTCGATTCTGGTCAAGGGCATGTACCTTGGTTGCGGGCACATCCCCGGTAGGGGGTGTGCAAGAGGCAGCTCGTCGATGATTCTCTCTCATCGATATTTCTAACTCTCTATCCCTCTCTCTTCCTCTCTGTAAAAAAATCAATAAAACATATTTTAAAAATAAATAAACTTTAGAGAGAGAGTGAAAGGAAGGGAGGAGGGAAGGAAAGAGGGAGAGAGAGAGACATTGATGTGAGAGAGACACATCAATTGGTTGCCTCCTGCACACAGCCCAACTGGGCTAGGGATCAAACCTGCAACTAAGGTATGTGCCCTTGACCAGGAATTGAACCCATGACCCTTTGGTCTCCCAGCCAATGTCCTAACCACTGAGCCATCGGCCAGGGCAAGATATAGATTTAGGTGCACAAGGCAGCCATGTTCATTCCCCATCTTTTTCATGACTAAGGGAGAATGCAGCTGGTACACAAAGATAGAGGGGAGAGAAAAAAGCCTCCAGTGTCCCAGGCCCCGGCCCCAGAAATTCCAGGGCCCTGCTGCATTGGTCTCCTCCTGCAGGCCGCTTGAATGAAGATTATCAGCATCCTTCTAGTAAGTCCTCCTTTTCTTGACTTAAAGACATTGGGATTAAAACAAACAAACAAAAC